CATGTCATTCGGTTTGTTTGTTCCTCTCAAATCCAGCCGGTCCAAGCAGATGGACGCTTGACTCTTTCTTTCCACTGTCGCCTTCATGCTTAATCAGATTCATCGCAATATGCTGCTTCCTTAGATAGAAATGTTTACTAATTGGCTTTTATAATGTATGTGAGTGTTTTTGTACACTGCCCTGAGACTTCTGTATGCGCCATTTAAAGAAACTGCATTGAAATATTTTTTCTACAAAAAACTAGTGGATCTTTTAGAGCTACCTGAAATAAAAATGTAAAAATCTTACTATTATTATTATTTTTTTGTATTTACACTTTTTTGTGGATTTAAAAAAAGATTCACATTTCAGTTTTTTTTTTAATTAACAAAATATGTATTAGATTGCAATTTATTAATTTAAAAAAAAAAAGTAAAACTACATTTGGAGAGTGGTGGTGCAGAGGTTAGAGAAGATGAGCCTGTGATTGGAAGGTCACCGATTCGACTCCCGGACCAACAACATCAAAATGTCGGTGGGAAAGGCGAAGCACCCACACCTAACCCTAATGCTCTTGATAAAACATATCTATTTATTTTTGACAACTTTTTTTTTTTTTTCAGTCTGGAGATTTGTGAAGACTATCCATCTGAAAACAAAGTCTCGTTTTCAGTCAAACTTACTCCCGTCTGACACTGAGGTATTCTTTACCTTATCTTTATATTTTATTTTATTTTACTTATTGGGTCAGCCATTGTCAGCCGTGGAACGTCCAGCCTGCATGCATGGGAAACATCTTATTAGCACTAAACGTTTACTTGAGAGCACTGCGAGTTTTTGCTCTTTACTGCCAAACTAAAACAATTCTGACAGACAAGATGAGATGAAAGACGAGACTCCACAGCGACATCTGACACATAGGAGGTACTGCTTCAAGGGTATAGGGTTTTAGATTAATCTCTGTTTGGGAAGATTTTTACAATGGCTCTCAGATAATAAAGCGGAGCACCGCCTCGTGAGGTAATATAAAAATCTAAATTATAGTGATAGACGTAAAAAGAAAAAACCTTATTGAGAGGATCCAACATTTTTCAGTCAGGTCATCTGGACGGTTTCTTTTTTTTTTGTGCTGAAACGTTTCACCTTCGATCCGGAAGGCTTCATCAGTCAAGGAAACACAACACAAAACTGTGCTTTAAGCACAAACAAAAAGAAACTGTCCAGATGACCTGACTGAAAAATGCTGGATTGTACACCTGGATTATTGAGAGGAATGCATTATTTTATGATATAATAAATACAAGATTAAAAGTTTTGTTTACAGTGTATTCTAACGTGGCAGATTTTCCCCTAAGGAACATGAGTGAAAAAAAAAGTTTACTAACTAAACCCAAAATAAATTAATAGAAAACAGCACAGACAAAAATAAAAGTGTAACTAATTTTTCCAAGGGTTAATGCCTACGCAAAGTTCAGAGAAATGAGGATGCTGTGATCCACACCGCTGGAGGCTGTGGTCAGGTCTACAAGCACCAGAACAGCAGAGTTCTTCAAATCAGCACTTAAAAGAAGGTCATTAAAACCTCTTAGAAGAGCTGAGTCAGTGATTCAGTAAAGTTCAAAACCTGACCAAAAGTTTTTCATAGATGTGATTTTCAACCAAGAAACACTGCAGCCGAGTAAGAACAAACTTTATGTGAGAACATGTAAAGGAAGCAGCTGCTTTCCAAAACAGCAGGGCTGAACTTCACCTTGATGTTCGAAACACTGAGGCCATGTTTTTTTTTTATTTTTTATTTTTATTTTTTTTAATTTAGCCTTTATTTATCCAGGTTAGTCTCATTGAGCCACGAGAACTCATTTTCAAGAGAGACCTGTTTAGGGAGCACATGGTGGGGTTAAGGGCCTTGCTCATGGGCCCAGAGTGGGGCGAATGAGGGTGGGGGCAAGTGTGGGTGTTTCACCTACCCCACCCACAATTTTGATGTTGTCGGGGCCGGGGCGTGAACCGGCGATCTTCGGATCACAAGCCCACCTCTCTAACCTTTGCGCCACCACTCCCCCCATGTTGTGCGAAAAGAGAAAAGCAAAGTACAACTGAATACCTACTTTGTAATTATGTTGGCATATTTACAAACAACATATAATAGGATGCATGATATTGGATTTTTGGCCGATATCCAATATGTCAATACGTTAAAACTCGTTTGGCTGATAACCGATACCAATACCAATATTGTTCCCCTAGACCTGCTTACAGAGACTACATATCTTTCTCTGCTGGGGAATTAAAATACTACATTATTCTGCATGATCTTTGTCAGTTTGGACTGCTACCACATGCAGACGCCAAAAAGGGGTTGAAAATAATGTAACACTTCAACTTGGATTATGTTTAATGTCAAATTTATTCATGACATTTACTCTCTAACACCATGACAACACTTGAACAGTACAAATTTGTAAATTTTCACAAATCCAAACTCAACCTGTTCACAAGCGACAAGTGAAAGGTGCATAAGTAGTACTGCATTAATAGATATACTTGACAGTTGCTTAAATTAAAAACTAACTTAAAACAGAAGCCTTTTCTATCAGTGAGTTATTCTGATGGAATGGCCAACGTCCGATATTTAAATTTATTGCTGATATCAGCCGATACCGATACCATGCCGATAATATCGTGCATCCCTATCATATAATAATAATGTTAACATAGATTTTTATATATATATATATAACAGTTTATAAATGTATAATTTGACTTGTGTTTCTTGATTGATTTACTAAATCTTAAAAATGTAAAAAACAACTATATTAGGCATTCAGTTCTATTAAAACGTAGAAAAACACAAATGCGTTCACTACACTAGTGGAAATTGTAGTAGATAGTAGTCAAATATTTGTCTTATACTACTGATATCCAAAATATTATAATTGTCCATATTATGATAATAAATACTCACAGAAAAAACAGTCAAGTACTATGTGCAATTTTTCAGTCTAAGTACTTAAGTTTATAGTGACAAATTAAGCTATAAAACTAAAAGTTGTACTTTAGACAAACAGTTTTATTTATTAGAAACTTCAAGTTCTGTAACTAACGTGAAATCTCATCCTAGCTGTAAAGCATGGTAGAGAGTGCATCATGATGTGGACCTGCTTTGCTACAATAAAAGCCTAAGCACCTGTCAGTCAATCAATCAATCAAATCTTAACATAAAGTTGTGATTGTGAATTATAATCTGGGAGGAATTTAAGACTTTCCCAACAGAATCAACAAGAATTCAAATAATATTTAAGTCAGTAGTTGATTTACTTTTCCAGCCTGCACAGTAAATAATTACTTTAGACAGATTACGTTTGTGTAATTATAATTAAATTTAAGATGAAACATTTTATGAGTAATTCTGCATTTTCGAAATACATGTTTTAAAACATTTTCTTAAATCAAGCACAATCACAAGTAAAGTTTTAGTCAAACTATGGAGCCATTTTACATTTTTACATTACTTTTTTTTTTAGAAACAAAGTAGAAAACATGTTTAGATTTACTGATCTGTTGTTGGACAGGTGTAAACTAGACATTCTGAAACTGCATGATTTGTCAGTTTCTATAAGATTTTGTTGCCACATTTTTATACCTAAACACTAAATATTTCATATGAAACAACTGGGTTGTTTCTCTGACGTTTACTTAAAACAAATTAAGATGAAAACAACAACAAAAACAATTTCATGACAACAGAGTGCTTCAACTTTGTCTTGAATCTACTTTCACCTTATTGATTGAAGATTTTAACCTATTTTAGGAGTTAATATTGTCTTCTGTATCGTGTAAACAAACCAAACATCCAACTTTACCGGACGATAGGAGAAAAAAAAAAATCTATTCCGATTGATGGTTGAAACTCTGACCAGCACAAAGCAACCAGTGCACCCAGCCAAGCTTTGCAAAGGAGGTTGGTGTTACTGGAAAGTAGCGTTACTGAGGCTAAAAATGCTCATTCAGTTTTTCAGAAAACAAGCTGTGGTTCCTAAATTTCTTCAGAAGGGTGAAGGTGAGCACGTGTGTGTAGGTAGCAAATGTTTTGCTTGTCCTGAGCCTGGTTCTGCTGGAGGTTTATTCCTGTTTAAAGGGAGTTTTTCCTTTCCACTGTCTCCTTTGTGCTTGCTCAGTGTGGGAGACTGAGACGAAATGAAGACTCAACACAATCTGCTGGTTTTCTTAGATAGATAATATACTAATTGGCATTTATAATGTATATGAATGTTTCTGTTCAGTGCCCTGAGATGACTTACGTTGTGACTTAGTTGGTGCTATATAAATAAACTGAATTGAATTTTCAATCAGCAAAACGTTTGCCAATATAAGTCATATTTCTAAAGAGGCACACATCTGGACAGAAATAGTGTGAATTGCTGCATTGCAGATGTAAAGACGCAGTAGTTGTTTTACTTGAGCTACGTAGAAAATACAGACTTGTTTTCTGTGGGATCAGCTTCACTCACAAACTTTAGTTGAACAAGACGTCAGGTAAAAAATATTAACGTGAAAAATGAAAAACACCACAGCCAATCCATCGCAGGTTTCAAAACCTCCATCTTTGCAAGAATAAACTGCTCATTCATTTCTCTGCCAAGGTGTATAACTGTGTGTGTGTGCGTGTGTGTGTGTGTGTGTGTGTGTGTGTGTGTCTGACAGAAACAGAAATACAGTGAAGTGTCTTTACAGCACCTTCTTATTGAACAGAGACAATGCTGCTAACTACACAGGAACAGACTCCTCGCTACAAGATAATAGCTGTGATGAAGGCTTTTACTCTGCATTTCTCTCCCACACACACACACGCACACACGCACACACAAACACACACACACACACACACACACACACTGCAGAAGAGCTAAGAAGCTGTGCTTTTTTGCTGAGTTTGACATGTTAGGAAAAAAAGTGAATTAGACCAGCTGCTCTGTGTGCGTGCGTGTGTGTGTGTGTGTGTGTGTGTGTGTGTGTGTGCATGCGTTTACCCACCAGCAGTGATGGTATCCTTCTCCTTGGCGTTCAGCTCCTCGACCTCAGCCCTCCTGCGCAGCTCAAACCTGCGAGCGTGTCCTTCTCGGGGTTTCCACAGCTCCTGGAGCAACAACGGCTTCTCGTTGTCCCCCAGTGCTCGCAAGCACTCAGTCCGCCACCCTCCTTCTCCCTCCAAACGTCCAATCACGTCGCACAGGACGTAAGAGCGAGCTGCATCCTTGTTGAGAGAGTAACGCTCGAGAGCCTCTTTTACGAGTTCCTGAGCGCTGGAGCGTGGCGTGGCCAGGACGCTCTTGTAGTTGGCACCGGCACAGATTTCATCGCCGAAGATCTTCAGCACCCCGGGGGCCGAGCTCTGCGTGGAGAGCTCGGCTGGGTCGTCCTCTGGTCGCTCTGGGGGTTCAGTCATCAAGCGTCGATCCCCGCGGGTGTTTGTTCCAGTCTCTGCTGGGACACGATCTCTGTAACTCAGAGTACGGTACAACACCTACAGATACAAGTAAACAGACATTAGTACAACGTACTGTGCTTTAGTTGCATCGGTCACAAAAAGGTTAATTATTCATCACCCTTTACTTTTGTTTGATCTGGAAGTTACCTCCACACTTCTTTGTTTGATGACGGGCATTTTGACTTGACAAGCAACACACAAAAAACACTTAATAAAAACAATACAAATACCATTCCAATAAATGTTTTTGTCCAACACCATCATACAAAAAACAACAACTTTAAGAACCAGTTTTTTCCAACATCACAAAAGATTTCCAGATTTATTTATTTTTTGTGATGCCGCATAAACAAACAACAATGACCAGTAAAAAAATATGCAAACAGAACGAGTAGCAGGTTTTATTTATCTGGTATCATGTTTTATATAAATATATAAAAATATCACTTTATAATGACCTTTAAACAAATGTCAGATTGTTTTCAGCTCAACTTGAAAAAGACACGAGCCTCATACTCTGATTAAATAAGGTCAAATATGGGTTCAGTCTGGTCGCCAAGAAGGTGAAAATATTAAGGATGGATACTAAATTCATCCCGAGTGAAATTAGACAAGTAATCTTTTCCAGTTATGTCTTTTCATTTTTTCCACTGTGCTTGTTTTGTTTGGACCAGATCACTTATCATCCCTAGATCCAAGCTTTTAGTGTGACTAAAACATTGAATAATTAATTTTAGGTACAGTAGATGGACTTTTCATGAGGACAATAAATGAAATATCTGTAAAGCTACACATAAGTTAGTTGCAGGAATGTAAACTGTCCTCGTAGCTGCATGTAGTTTGTTAAATAAGAACCTCACCTAATCTCTTAATGATTTTCTGCCATAGCGAGTCAAGGTGTATAAAACCAGGGACTAGGATTATAAAGCAAACTAGAAAAATTACATTTCCTGTGAAAATTCAGTGCGAATGCTTATTGCTGAAGAGCTTGCTGAAAAACAGCTGAAATTAGCTAAAAAAACAGGCTGAAATGTAGCTGAAATGTAAGAACAAGCCTTAATTAACAGAAGAAAGCGGAAAGAACAATTTTTGCTGAATTTGATTTAAATGAGCAGAAACTACCACAAAAATAAGGAAATTAGCTAAAAAAGCTGAAATTAGAAAAACTAGCTGAAAAGGCAGAAAGAAGCTTAAACTACTAGAAGGAAATTGTGAGAGCAAAAGAAGCAGAAATGAGCACAAAATGTGGGAATTATCTGAAAAAAGCAGACATTTGCTAAGAAAAACAGCTGAATAGTAGCTACAAAACGGCAGAAAGAAGCTTCAATTAACAAAAGGAAGTAGAGTTAGCACAGTTTTGCTGAATTAGACATAAAAAATGTTTAAATGAGTGCAAAAAATGTGGAATTAGCTGAAAAGGCTCAAATTAGCATAGAACAGCTAAATAGCATCTGAGAAAGCAGAAATAGTTGAAACTTGCAGAAATAAGCTGAAAGGAGCACAACAAGCTGAAATTAGCAGAAAG